CACTGTCCAAATCTTCCTGAATCTTCTCCCCAAGAACCATCCAAACTTCCATTTTTCTTTGTTTTTTCCTTTTTTATGACCCATCGAGTCTAATTAATACTGCCCGTATGCGTAGAGATTTAAGTACATTGAAAATACATTGTAGACTACCTATACACAATTTTAGATATAGGTGCACTGCTCTACTTCTTATCACTGGACCCATCTATTAACTGATCTCTAAGAAGTGATTAAATAAATCATGCCACATCCTTACCTAGAAGGACTCTTCAGCTATACCCAAGTTTGAGGAAACAGTGTATTAGTAGAATAACACACAGCCTAGAGTTAATTGGTCTACAACAGTCAACTCTTCACAACTTATAGCTTTTCATTTTGACTAGAAATATTCTTCTTTTTCTCTGCTTATAAACCATAAATAGGTAGCTGTGATTTCAAAAGATTGATGTGTGAGGGGTAATCAAATATTAATCTTAACTGAATTCTCTGGAAACATAATTAAAAGAAGAAAAAGTTTATGTGAATGTTATTTCTACAGAAAGCACTTATGTATCTAAATTTGGTAAATCCTTAGGAGATGATGGTCTTAGGGCTCAGGTACCCTGGGAATTCTTTGGTTTTATTAGAAGCTTTCCAATAGGACACAAAGGCACATCCTCCATGTCATATTTAGTAATGTTTACAATACTCTGGATAAGTGAACTGCAGTAAAATGTAGACATGGTAAGTTCATGCACCTTCCTCCCATGCAATAAATTAGTCACAAATAAAATCTCTAAGTAAACATGTAAATCAGTCGTATATTTGAGATTAGAATGAAGTGAGTAGGAACAGACTACCTACTCTTGTTCACCAATAAAGACTAAAATATTGAAATGCAGATTGCCACAGAGCTACGCTCATCTGAAGAAAGCTGGTAAACTATTAAGGGGCTAGGATTTTAATATTGCATTATTTAGACTTACAGATAATTGTGAAAGATTACAAATAAGGTGAAAGAATTTAAAATTAGAAAATCATTTAATTTTGAAAGTGTTATTTATAATTTGGATGATTAAGATCATTTTATAATATATTCTCACATCTCTCCTCCCACCATGACAATGTCGTTTCCGTTTATGGGTCTATCAGAGATAAATACATATAAAAACAGTGAATATGTTTTCTAACCATACCAGGTTTGATTCACTGCTTTTCTTCATCCTATGCTGCTTCATCTCCCTAAAATATATTTTCTCAAGTATTCAAATCCTTTTGGGACCATATAAAAATATAAAAATGCTCAGATATCTCCTTCTGTAAATTCCTGAGAATGGCAAAGGAGAAGCAATCACTTTCAACTACCTTTTGATTCTTTATATCTTTTGTTTTGCATGTATGCAAACAGTTTGTTCATGAGAGATCAGAAATAATTATTTTATATCCTCAATGCAAGATACATGGTGGTGCATGTCTATTATACTAGTATCTGAGTCTGAGGTGGAAAGATTGATAAAAAACATGTAAAAATACTTTTCCCTAGAGATATCACTAATTCTTTATTGAACAAGTGTTCCATAAATTGACTTCTAATTAAAATTTGAATAAAATTGTGAATAAAATCTTGAATAAAACAGTACAAATTTGAATCCATATATATCAGTAAATGAAAATAGATACATATTAATAACAAACTTTTTCTGTTTTAAAAGTGTCATGTTCATCATAATTTATTTGTAATTATTTTTTATACTTTAAACTTTGAATTTTTCCATGATTTCCTTCACATGAATTTTTTAAATTTGTATTTTAGACTTTCATAACCCTTTATCTTCTCTGTATTCTATGTTACTCTTACTATGTTCTAAAATGCATACATAGCTCTATTTATACAATCCTTTGCCTGGCATTTCCTGTCACTAGATCTTGGCTGGTTTCTTCATGTGAAAAGCCAATAAATTCACATTTGTTATGTAAATACCTGAAAACTAGTATCACTAGCCATAAAAAATAAAACACCACTCAAGAATTTGGTATGCTAAGCTTTGATTGATGGAATTGAATAGGGCCAATGAACTCATTCTACTTACTGACACAGGCTAGGTTTATTTGTGTGAATATGTGTAATAATATCAGATATACAATTATTCATGTAATATTTTGATCCTCCTTTACAATTTTCAAAATTAATTAATAATGTATATGGCATCTTACTTCCTGCACATTGCACAGGGCATGTGCGCTTTCTAACCTTTGTATATATTCTAATCATTCACATTAAAATCTCCAAAAAGTCTACATTTATAAGACTATAAAATTGGTAGACTATATAAAAAGATTTAATATCAAATCAAAATATTCTAGAAATATAAAATATTTGTCTGATATAATGTCTGTAAAGGATGAATGAACATGACATCTCCTGAAACATTAGTTTTCTAGTTATTACAGTTAAGCAATACATACTACTTTTTTCATACAGATATTTTTGTTTTCTTCTTTGGGTTTGGTTTTGGTTCTTTTTCTTTTCCTTTCTTTCTTTTTTTTTTTTTTTTTAAGCAGTACTCGAACTCACAGATATTCGCCTGTCTCTACCTCCCAAGTGCATGGATTTAAGGATGTGTGCCATCATGCCTGATTCCATACAGATCTTTTTACCCCACTTAGAGCTGAAGACCTGACATGAGTGAGACAAGAGGGCAGTAATGGAAAATCATACTAGACAGACAGAGTTTATGGCAACAGGTTGAACTGATGGAGCAACTTTGAAACAGGTTTGATCCTTCTGCTTCCCAGTTATTTTCTAGGCACTTAATGCATATCATCATCGTACTCAGACTGCTAGAATCTCATTTCACAGTCCTCTGTATTTTCCTCTTTGGAGTTTCCCTTCCTTAGAAATTTCCTATACAGATATCCCCAAATTGGTAATTACGTGACTACTGGAAACAACCATCTCCAATAACCATTCTATCAATGTAAAAACATTTAATTGAGAAATTTTAGATCACACCTTGAACAGCTTATTGGGATAAAGCCTTAGCAAGGTGGAGATGCAGAAACACTAATGAAATTGAGGAACTATATTTCAAGTAACTGACATGCCTCTTGTAAACGGGCCAGCAGAACTTATTCAACTGTATGAGAAAGGAATGGGTTTGATTGACAAGAAACAAAAAATGAAGTAAAGGGTATTATTATTAGATAATCCCTAGTCTGATTTTTTGTACATTTCTAAAACTTCTAAACATAGACCTTTATGTGACTGAGAAGGAAGAAATGACTTAGTAAAGTGTGATTAGATCTTTTTTTTTTTT